CCGTGGTTTTTTCATTATTGAGTTTATTTTTAATTTCAATATCATGCTCTTCAGTCAAAGAATTGAAAATTCAAAAGAATCTTTGATTGGGATGGATGCTGATGGATTAATGGGAATAATTTGATCTATGAAGTTTAAAATATCAATGAATTAAAATGATGCAATGTGGCATAAAAACAAATCAAGCAAATTTGGTCAAAGTTGGCTGGTTATGAAAAATTAGCCAGGCAGTTTGAGCTAATTATAAACTGAGAATTATTTTCAGTGAATAATAACTGATTACTACTTCCACCCACCAAAAGTGACACTACTCACTTCAAGACCATCACGACTAAAAAAAACTTCTATAAAGCACAATCTATCAACATACCTAACAACTGTCATAGATTTTGGATCATACTTGTCCTCATTCACTCCCATCACAAACATGGGAGCATCAGCTGAGGGGGCTGAAATGATGACCTTTTTGGCCCCGCCCTTCAAGTGAGCGCTGGCCTTTTCTGTCGTTGTGAAAACACCAGTTGACTCAACAACATATTCAGCACCGCTTTCACTCCATGGTATTGTGCTTGGGTCTCTCAATGCATAAACAAAGATTGCTTTGCCATTTATGACAAGCTTGCCATCTTTTGCCTCAACAGTTCCCTTGAATCTTCCATGAGTGGAGTCGTACTTAAACATGTACACCTTTTTTGACAAAACAGCAGAAATTAATGAACTTATCATGAATCAGTAGGTCTCGATTTGCTTTTAGTCTGTGACCTACACGACCTGTCATGGAAAGTCTGGAAAAAGGCTAGAAAAACATTACTGTTGAGATCAGTGCTAAAATCTGAGAAATATCTGAAAATATTACACGTGTGCTGATAGGTAGAAACAAAATTTTACATCAAAGTGCAACCCACAAACTCAAAATAACTGACATTAATTGAAAATCATTAAGACGTAGGATCTGACAGTTAATTTTTTGTGCGTCAACCGATTACGTATGAGCTCATGCAAAAGATGGTATCATGACCTATCAGGAAACGGCCGCCATTATTGGAACAATACGATATTGATTTAGTTTACTAGTTGTTTAAAAAAAACTGCCTACGAATCCTGTTCTGTTAGTCACAATAAAATAAAATCATTCCTCAATGGAATTACACAAGCAATAATAAAAATATCGTTAACCATGTATTCCAGATCGATAAATGGATCGTTCACTGCGACAACTTGTACTTCTTCATGTTCCTGGGAGGCACGCATTACAAGGCGTCCAATACGTCCAAATCTACGATAAAAACGCAAGAATATGTTACCTTTAACAATCAAATGATGATGGACAAGAACAGAAACATAGAAAAAAGAAGCAGCAAAGCTCATTCAACACTTTCACTAACCCATTAATTCCTACTTTCACCATCTTGATGTCGAGTTTTGGGGTGTTTTCTGTGAAAGAATAAATAACTAACTTCAGTACGAACAAGTATTTAACTGCACACAAAAATTACTGTTATAAAACACACGTCAATTGAAATGAGAAGTTTAGATTGACCATTTACCTACAGGTCAGAAGAGAGATCACAATTAATGCCACGTTCACCGATAGAATTCAAGATCGGAGTGGACAATTTTGCAGAATGACCCTTCAAGTGCTGCTGGTACTGCAATATGATTGGTGCATATGGATCACATGACGGGTGTCGTGACGCCCTGCACGGTTCTTGCATGCTGCTGCAGCCATCACAAAGTTTGTACTTTTCTTTTGTGCAAATAAAGGTACATTTCTCTGATGTTACGGAAGATTTTCAATGTAGAACATTAAAGATAGCAACCTGGTGTGGGTTAAAGTACTGTATCCAAATAAAAAGCCCTGTTCACCCCCGGTGGGCATCTTGTCTTGCCTTTTGCATAACACTCCAGACGTCCGTGATGGACTGGAGTGGATAGAAGGGACTGGACTGGACTGGACTGGACTATGAACTGGGGGACCTAGGAGACGATAGGATATTTTATATGTGTTTGTATTCCCGGTACGTTTCTTCAGGATAGGCAAATCTACCTGCCTGAAATCCTAGAGAAATGAATGTATGGCCTGAAAATGCAAGTTGTTCCATTCAAAATTCGTTTTAAACCCTGTCTAATTGCTCTTATAGCCGATTGATTGTGAGTTAACGGCAATAATGCCAGCAACCGGACGATTGATGTGGGAGGTTGGGGTGGATGTGTACCGCTGAAGCCTTCTAGTCTAAGACAAAAATTGCCCATTTCGTTACCCTAATAAACACAAGCGACCTTAATTTTTACTGCGCTTCGTTTTGCGATAGGAGTTAAGTACCGTGAAACCTCTATTAAGCGGACACCTTCGGGACCTTCCCAAATGTCCGCTTAATAGAAATTGTAAATGTTGCGCAATGTTTGTTAACGGTTAAGTTTCAACGGTTACTCTGTGATAAAGTTCCATGTTGTTAAAGAAGCTAAGGAAGCTGTGCTGTACATTGTGCAAGACTTTCGGTCTAATCTACAGTTTATTGAGAGCGAAATGTATTGATTTATCTTTATTAATTGACTACAGTACTATATATTTCAAGGATGTAATGCAATACTACTATTGCCAACTCAGTCTGGTGTCCCCTTAATAGAGGTTTTTAACAATAGAAATTAGCCAAATACAATTTATTTCAGTGTCCGCGTCCGCTTAATAGAGGAGTCCGCTGAATAGGGGTTCGTTATAAAGGGAAATATAAGACGTTAATTTCGGGACCCAGCTGAGCGTCCTCTTAATAGAGGGTGTCCGCTTAATTGGAAGGTCCGCTTAATAGAGGTTTCACAGTAATTTCTAGCCAGGTAAGCTGGATCATTTTAAAAATGGATTTTGCCGGCGGAAGCCATGGATCGAGACTTCAATTAACTGATTGCGCGCGTAAAAAAAAAAAAAAAAGTGCGTGCGAGAGCTTTGGAAAAACTACTGTGACATGCAAGATCTCTATGACAACTGGAAATGTTTATTCACTTCCCCAGAAGTTTTCTTGAAAGCGCCGGTCATTTGTTTTGTACTGAAAACTAACTCGTTGATCAGTTGATTCTACTTGTAGGTGAATTTTAAACCTATTGCATTTAAGAACGGTAAGTGTTTTGAATTTTAACAACAGAAATTTGAAGAGCTATTTAATTCCCCAAACGAAGAATCTTTTTTAAACGAGAAATTTTGCAGAATTTTGAAGCCGACCCTCTCTTGAAATTAACTGTGCATGCGCCAAAAGTTGGCTGATCCCGCACAGAGCTCTATCTTAAACTGGATAATTGTACAAAATATTACCTGTCACCAGTTGCAGTTTTCAAAGTACGGAAAGGCGTCTTTTTGATAAAGTTAACTAGGAAATTACTATCCCATGAAAAGTTCTCATTTTTCGTGAAAACTAACACACATTTCAGTCACTCTACATCGCAGAAAAACTGCTTCTGAACCGCATTGGGGGCGCTATTTTTTTGACAGTCCCTATTTTACTTCTTGGCATAGTTCTTTCAACTTCAGTAGAGTTGTTGGGATTCTTAAACTTGTCATTTTCAGTTTAAATTCGTTTCTTTCATTATCTCTAATCATTAAAGGCCCCATAGCTGAAAAGAATTTAGCTGTCAGTTTTATTTTATAATTGTCTGATCATTGCATTTTTCTTCAACAATGTTTTAGTTTTAATTGATACCTCACTATCTTACTACAGAGACGTCAAAATGGAAGTACAAGCTGAAATCCATTCGTTACCAAGCGAGAGAAAATCTTTGCTACAGTCAACAAGTCACTCTACTATCCCTTATGACAGGATCGTGAATTCGATGCGCCAAGCCCGAAAAAACAGAGATCTACTAAAGCTGGCTGAACAAATCGAAGTACTTGACGACCAGGGAGCATTGAGACCAGAAATTCACAAGGTAGAAAATCATTGCATGGCATTAGTCTGATTAACTAGGAAGGGCGGGTATGTTTTAATCGGGTTACGAGTTAGCCTATTCCAGACTCCGAGATAATTGGGTCCGCTGATTTGAGAAAGCGCAAACGTTAAAATAAATAAATAAATAAATAAATAAATAAATAAATAAATAAATAAATAAATAAATAAATAAATAAATAAATAAAACTGTTCGCGTGCCCTTCACTCTCGTGCCATCCGTACTATCCGAGAGCCTGGAACAGGCTAGGTACAAGTAGGCGAGAGAGGACTGGGATATGGAACGGAAGTTAATGTGCTTACTAAGGCAATTATTACCCTGTGGGACCACTTTCCATGATAAGTCATTGTCGCATTGTTTTCGTTAACCAGTCGACACATTTAACAGCGTCACGCTGGCAAAATGTACGCTCCTTTCCGTGTATATGAATATAAACAGTGTTCGATGTAAGATGCATGAAAAAATTCTTAATTTCATTAAAATATCTGAAATATTCTTTAATGGTCTATACCTTTTAACCAGAAGAGTAAGTAATGAGTTTACTAGAGCTATCTGAACTGCTGGATTCATTAATTTAGAGAAGACCTTTGTAAATAGTTTTAGTTTTGTAAATACATGTTCGTGAAATTTGTCACAATTAAACCACGTTAAGACTTTACGGTTATCCTGGTTGTTTAGTTATCCCCTGCAGACTATTCTGGGCGCTGCTGCACCGTCTAAATTTGCTATCTATGCCATGAGTCTCCTTAGTTCCAAAGTTTTTTTTTTAAATATTCGGTGGAAATCTCCTCTATCACCCATATGCAGTATGGTCCAATGGACCACCCAGTTTTACGATGTCTGAAAACGACTTAAGTCCAGATTCTCAGTTTATTTTTATCCCACACTGCGCTCAATCAAACGCCACCTTAAAGCACCTTCTGTTTCCATAAATGAAGTAGATACTTAACTCTTTATTTTTGCCCCAACAAGGAAAGCTATTTACATTTGAGTATAAAACGTTCTAAGGTTGCACGTATTCGCTCATTCATCACGTCTTTCTCCAGTCTGAGAGGCAAGTGCAGGGCTTAAAACTTCAAAGTGAATCCGGCGACTGCAGCAGAACCTTTCTTGGATGTTTGAAGCCTGAATCCTTGACTGTCAGTTCCACTGTCCCCTTCATCCGCCTGTAAATAGAAATACAGGATGTAAAATGTAATTAAATTAAATTTATAATTATTTACCTTTGGGAGTATTTACAGCACTCATGCTAGACATAACAGGGTTAAGAATCCCAACTGGCCGGGGGCAAACCAGCTGGCTATTTACAAGCGTGGTCGAGGATTTGAGCTTGGGACTACCGTGAACAAATCCAGCTTGCGGTCAGGGCGGGACTTGAAGTCGGAGCCTCTGAATTGCGAGTCCAGCGCTCTAACCGCTCGGCCACCCTGCTGTAAACTATTTGGGTTATGCAGTAAGCGCTTCTTCTTCTTCTTTCTTCTTTTTCAAACTTTTGTTATGGTCCAAGCAGGGGTTAAAAGGACAATGTCCGCTTGATTTTACCGTTTGGCCTAGAAATAAGAATGTTTACTCAACTGTTCCCAAAGGACATTCTTACTATTTACGGCCGGAGACCAAATTATTTGTAAGCGAAATGTCTCAAGGGCGGATCTCATTTCCAGGGTATCTCTTAAGAAAACTTGGCAACACGGCGACCACAACAGTGTTTCTAAGCACCAAACGCTTAAAATATTTCTTTGGTAACACGAGAAAAATCTTGAATTTACATTCCCTGCTTTTTCAGGCTTTGTCACACGGGTAGATTCGCAAGGACTATTTTTAGGGCAACAGAAAGCGTTGCAACAGTGTTGCAGCGATGTTTCGAACTGTTAAACACTATTCTAACATTGTTGCCTTCAATGGTCATAGTAAATAGTATAGTAATAGTAGTACGTCGGCTCCTGGTCGCGTTCAAACAACCAACGCAAGATTACATGATAATGAAAAGACCATCAACGGTTGCGGGCTCGCGTTTATCACTCACCAGCTTTGCAAACATAGCCCCACCCTCCGGGGCTTGGGGACTGTGTTCCACATCCTTCTTTTTGGGCCTTTTCATCATCTCACTCTTGGCAGGCCACGTGGGGAACATGGAGGGGTCCACTGGTAGTGGAGACTCCTAAGGAGGGAGGGGTAAAATGCAAATGGAGCACATTAGTACACTATGGTCCCCAGTATAATAATTGCGTCCAAAGTTGGGCAGTGCTAATAGTGTCCCTTATCAAAGTTTGCCACGTTTTCAACGCCATCTTAGCTACCTCTCCCGCCCTTTATTATTATTGTTATTATTATTTTTGTTTTATGGCCTTTCTCTCGGTAGGAAACTGGTGTCTATTCATGCCTCGCTTTGAAGTTGGCCCCACCACCGATCTCTGTGGAACGCAACGTGAAACGCAAAATGATTATTCCCACATGCAGCGTTCAGCTTTTACCTATTTGTGTTTTTGTGACTTTTTGTTGTATGATTGTTGGACGCGATTCATGAATTTAATAATATCGCAAGTGAATTAAATGCCGCAGGTTTAGTACCTAGCAAGAGTGCTTCCCGAAACTAAATAAAAACTTCAACCTTGCTAGTCAAGAAGTGGCAATACAAAGAAATCAACAAAAAGCACTTACATTAAAATATTCATGTTCAAGAGCTTTATCAGCCGTTATCCTTTTCTTGGGATCATACGTCAGAAACCTAAAAATACAAAAGAGAAAACTACACTCACTGCAAATTACATGTATTTCATCTCTACACAGCCTGACCAGCCCGGGGTCAGGCTCGCCTCTTTTCCCGCTCGGTTCGCCTATTGCTTTCTATCATTTGTCATTTTTTCCCATGAAGGAGCCTGGTCCAAGGGACCCGTTTCTTGAAAGTCCCGCTAATTTTCGGGCCCCGAAATCATATACTCAAATCCAAGCGTTGGTCCTACTGAACAAACCAGTTAATTTTGACAGCTTTCCTAGCCTGCGAGAGCATCCGGTTTTTTCGGCTCTACTTTCACCCGCTTTCGGAGGAAGAGAAGCGACGACCGGAAATACGTCTGCGGTTCGCAGGCTACAGCTACAGCTTTCCAGGTCTACTGATTATCGGGACTTGCGAGACATAGCCCGCTGACTGTCATTTGCAAAGTTACAAATGATATATATGTACAGTAACTTCTAAAAGTAATTAACACAGAGACACTTACTTGTTTAACAAACTGAAGCCCTTGTCTGTTAAATACGTGCCAAACCTGTTTCTTAAGTTGTTGTAAGGATACTCTGTGAAAGTCATCTGAAAGAGTAAAAGTTGTCAAGTCAACTCAATGAACAACGTGTTGAGCAATTTTTCAGCATTTCTTGTGTACCACCACCATCTTGGAACTGGAAGGTAGAGATGGACTGGGGAGAGTATGATCACGTGGATAAAATCCTCAAGTGCGATCAATTCAAATAAAGAGACTTCGAGTAGTTCTTTCCTGTGACACTAAAAAAAAATCAGTTTACTTGAGTATAAATGTATTTAGCAGGAAAGTACTAATTGGGGAAAATATTTTAACTTGTCCTACTAAAGACGAGACCGTCATTTTACGTGGTCATCCGAGCCACGCGAAGCTCTGGCCGCTTGCACTGCAACGGGAGTACATGTACCTCCATTTCTCAGTTATTTTAAGACCCTGAGTATTGGTCCGGCCCCGGGAATCGAACCCGTGACCCCCCGCTCTGCAGTCAAACGCTCTACGACTGAGCTAACACTGACTCAAACTATACAAGTTTTAGTCCCTGGATGAAAACCAATGAAATCTCTTAACCTTTTTAACAGCTGGAAGTTCAGAGTAAGATGGTGGTCCAGGCCAAATTTTGTCACTGGGAGTTCCAAGTTCCTGAAAAAAAAAAAGATAACAGGGAGGTTAAGCAAAGGCGTTTTTGAGCGACGCACGTCAACATTAAGTGATGCCTTTTCTTTTTTATTATGCGTTGACGCTAGTAAATTTATTGCTAAGTGGCTTGACTCTAATAGAGACGATTTACCCGAAACACAGCTGGTTACGAGTAATCAGCCGGGTGATTTGAGCCAATCAGAAACGGAGAAACATTTTGAATAAATAATAAACAAATTTTAATCTATGCAATGCTAATACAAAGTCTTACTTTAAATATTCTGTTGATCTGATCTATCTCCGACTTGCCCGGGAAAAGTGGCTTCATCGTCAACAACTCCGCAAATATACAACCAACAGACCACAGATCGATGGGAGTTGAGTATTCCTATAACAACAAAGAATTTTGTTATCACTAAACAGTGAATAATCATACAATATATTGATATTATAAGAGGTAATCATTAATTACGGATCCGCATTCGTCACTCGAGTTGAAAGGAGTCCAGGGCCAAGAAGCCCCTGATAAAATTTATAGGGGTGGTTAATCGGCAGTCACCCGTGATAGCTCGAAAATTTCTGCCTTTCTGCCGCAGGAGCACCAGATTAGGATGCGTTCTGAAGAACGTGATGATTTACTGTGCAGATGAACAGGGTGTCCAACCTCTTTTGTATTATCAGGGGTGGAGTACACATACATGAAGTCCTCCATATACTTGTAATATTGTTGGGGGAATCTCGTGTTCAGTGGGTTCCAATACAAGCAGGCTTCTAGCCAGACATTGAAAACTGGCCGTCAAAAAGGCGTGTTTTCCCATAAAATCATAAGAGATTAAGTGAATTTTCCTTGCATGTCTTCCAAAAATGGGCGTCCATAGGACAGCTGGACACCCTTCTGGCTAGGACCTTGAATATCATTCAGTTCGACCATTTGGGTGTAACTTTTTACTTTTCACTACCTGGAGTTGTATTTTACTTTGACTAAGAAGAATGGTGGTAAATATAACTTGTTGAAATAATATTGTGTTTCACGATCTAAAGTTGGAGCTAAAGAGAAAGCATTTTGTGTCAACTTGGAACTATAGTATGCATGGATGGATTTTTTTTGTCGGGGGTGGAGGGGAGGGGGGGTTTGAGAGGGCCACATCTCTCTTCCATTTATATGACATTGTGTTAAAAATGTAAAAACCTCTAAGTAAGATCGGTTTTTCAAAAGCCTTTATTTCTGGACAGACATACTCTCAGAGTTCTGTAAACAATAAATATTCTTTTATTATTTTATTATACTATTCCTCGAGTCTGAATGGGCTCTGAGTCAATAGGGCTATTGACCCAGAGGCCATGAGGGCGAGAGGATTAATTGTTTTCAAATCCAACTAGTCGGTAAAAAAAATCAGGACAAAACAACTTTAGCTAGCAAAATGTGATTCAGCTGCCATTGTTTTGGTTTTCAAAGCCGGCCCTTTTCGCTACTGCTGGGGTATATAACATATAGCATAGTAGTAGCTCAACCAATCAGAATGCAGCATTGATAACAGAACACTACCTGGATTTTGCTAAATAATAATAGCTGGCCTCCTCTACCTCAATAATTAAAAAAGAGGACAATATTATTGTCTGGATCTGGACCTGGAATATTTGGAATATGGAAGAATTTAGAGGCTTCTTCAAAAGAAATAGGTAATGTTGTCTATGACTAAATTATACAGTACAATGTACCTTGATGCCAAGCAGTAATTCAGGTGCCCTGTACCACAGTGTCACAACAATAGGTGTATAGCTCTTAAGAGGAGAGCCATACTCTCTTGCCAGTCCAAAATCACCAACCTGTTATCAAATTAATTCCAAAGAAACAATAAGTGTTTTTGCTAAGTCAAGTTTCAAGCTTATTGAACTCTAGCGAAAATAATAATAATAATGATAATGATAACAATAATTAAAATAAAGAAGTGAACTGCTTATGAAGGAAGTGCACTTAACAGCTTTAGCAATGTTTCTAGGGGCACAGCCTTGACTCCTCCAGGAGTCAAGTCTTATGGACAACTTGCGACCAAAGTAGAGTTCTTTTCTAAACCCTTATTATTTCATTAATCAAACGAACCTTAAGAATTCCCTTGTTACTGAGGAGTAAGTTAGAGGCTTTCAGATCCCGATGAAGAATCCAGTTGTCATGGAGATGCACAACAGCTCTTAGAAGTTGAATCATCAGTGTCTTGACTTCACCTAGATAAAAACAAAAATTAAAATGAGAGATCAACATTGGAACCTGTCAGTAGTCAAGCTCTTTAACATTAATTTTAATAATTCTTTTGAAACACTAAGAAAGTTAATGGATGTCTCTGTAACACTATGCAAACAATTATTGCTAGAGGATTCAACTGTTCTTTTATGGACAGTAAACAATTGTGGTATGCAATTAACTGTACCCACCCAGAAGGCAGACTCTTAACATATATACTATTTCACATGCTGCGCAGATAATCAAGGGTCTCCAAGAAAATGGGTGCCTGTGACTGTTTCAGTATTGTTGTTCTAGGAATGCTCACTCACCAATTCTAAACCCTTGTGTCATGTGTTCCATAAGAACCTTCAGGTCATGCTCAACATAGTCCATAACAATGTATATTTTGTCCATATTGCTGCCCACCACTATTTCCTGCAGAAGCAAGACATGATGAGAATATCATTTTATTTAAAATTACAGAAGCAGTATAATTATTTGCCACCACATTAAACTTTGGAAACTTGTGCCACACCTCACAAAAGTAATGAAACAGAAAATGTACCCTGCAAACATACAACAATGCCTGCAATTTCTACAATATGTTTATCAGCAAACACGGTCATGTAGCCTCCTACATGTATACAGCTGTTCCAAGTCTTGTCACACAATTCTTGCTCAAAGATGCGGCTAGTCACATTTGAGCAGACACCTTTCAAAGTTTCAACCAATCACAGTTCCATTATTCTTCACAATCACAGTCCCATTATTCCATTATTTGTTCCATTATTATCGTTTCAAATGCCATCCAATCACAGCCTGCATTTTAAATTGTGCCATCTTAATATTGCTGTCCAGTTGTATCCTATGAAGCTGTTACTTGTCATGCCACGGAAATTATTTTCTTTTTTAATTGTCAAAAGCATCACTCCCAATTTGCTGATAGATGATTGTTCACTTCAGTAAATTGATGAAACAATAGTAAAGGAATGTAGTTTGCTACCCTGTGAGCAGAGGCTACATTTTCGCTGTGTGAACTGGTGTGCGAAAAGTAGCCTCTGCCGACAACCATTCAAATCCGTCCAGATATCTGGACAAAAAAATTTAAAAAATGGGTTTTTTCCAGTTCTTGACCAGTTTAGAGCACTGCGCGAGTCTTGCATGAGTCTTGCGTAGCAGATCCGAGTTGTCACAATTTTTTTTTATTCCCAAGAAACTCGCGTCGTTTGACGACAGACCTGACGATTAATTTTGCTTGCGAATCGCGTGACAAATCTCGTGCATGCACGATAGAAAATTGAACGGTTGTCAGCAGAGGCTACTTTTCGCACGCCAGCTCACACAGCGAAAATGTCGCCTCTGATCGCAGGGTAGTAGTTTGCTTGTCAGCAGCCATTCCTTTGGGGAGGAACATCGTGTGATGAGAAAAAGGACAGCTGTTAGGGGACTAATCAGCAAAAGAATAGTTCCTGGAGTAAAGTGTTATTGTTAGACAAAAAAACAGAAGTACAATTACACTTGAAACTGAAAAAATCACAAATCAGGCTGGCTTTAACAGGGCACTTACTCTAACAGTCACAATGTTAGGATGCTGTGCTTTCAAAAGGGTATTGATTTCACGCAAAGACGTAATAGGAAATCCCTCCTTTTCTCTTTCCATCTTTAGTTTCTTCAATGCAACTATATCACCTTGAAATGAAACAAATTTGAGAATAGTGTACGTTGTTGCACCAATACAAGAAGCCCCTCAGGACAACACAATGTCAGGCTGTAATACTTGTGACATTAAATGTTACTAATTTTTAAAAACAGTGTTTTCACCAGAATTTTGTGATTTACAGCCCAATGACCCCAGGCCTTGAAGTTTCTGGGCCATTTAAAACAAAGAATGGGTCACAAGTGTTTACTCAGTTTGAAGTTTCCAACTAAAATTTGTGTAATACTACTTTATCAGACTGGAATAATATCATATGTTTTAGCTGAATATTGTTGTATGCAGTCACACTATGGAGAACAATAATTACTGTTAAATTTAAAAAAGCTCATAGTCCAGCACAAAGCAGTAGAAAAAAATTGAATGCTTATTTACAAACCAAATAAGCCTATTTACAACCACAATAGAGTACCGAAGTGATGACGTCATAAAAATGAAATTTGTGAAATTTGTGAAATTATGGGATTTGTTAAGATATTCTGAAAGAACAACGTCCAAGACGCCTACTCGCAAAAAATTAGCAATTCGGGGCAAATTGTCTCTGAGATATTAGCCCAGTTATCCTGTGACGATTCCATACAAATCCTTCTAAATTTGGCTTGGTTCATAAGATTAGGAACCAGGTAAGATTTAGAAGGATTTGTGTGGAGTCATCGGAGCATAACTGGGCTAATATCTCAGAGACAATCTGCCCCAAATTGCTAATTTTTGGCGAGTAGGCGTATTGGACGTTGTTCTTTGAGAATATCTTAACAAATCCCATAATTTCACAAATTTCATTTTCTATGACGTCACACTTCGGTACTCTATATTATATAGATGGAGAATGTCGCATTTGATAGATAAGGCCATGACTCTTGAACCTCATGGCCTAAACCGCCGTGACGGATTATTGTAATCCATATCCTTAGTATTTTTCCTTTCCAGTTTCTAGGTTGCACGTCATTTCCGCGTCTCCCTTTTATTGCGCCATTCTCCCTCTATCTAATATAGCGTTAGTCCCTGGATGAAAACCAATGAAATCTCTTAACCTTTTTAACAGCTGGAAGTTCAGAGTAAGATGGTGGTCCAGGCCAAATTTTGTCACTGGGAGTTCCAAGTTCCTGAAAAAAAAAAAAAGATAACAGGGAGGTTAAGCAAAGGCGTTTTTGAGCGACGCACGTCAACATTAAGTGATGCCTTTTCTTTTTTATTAAGCGTTGACACTAGTAAATTTATTGCTAAGTGGCTTGACTCTAATAGAGACGATTTACCCGAAACACAGCTGGTTACGAGTAATCAGCCGGGTGATTTGAGCCAATGAGAAACGGAGAAACATTTTGAATAAATAATAAACAAATTTTCATCTATGCAATGCTAATACAAAGTCTTACTTTAAATATTCTGTTGATCTGATCTATCTCCGACTTGCCCGGGAAAAGTGGCTTCATCGTCAACAACTCCGCAAATATACAACCAACAGACCACAGATCGATGGGAGTTGAGTATTCCTATAACAACAAAGAATTTTGTAATCACTAAACAGTGAATAATCATACAATATATTGATATTATGAGAGGTAATCATTGATTACGGATCCACATTCGTCACTCGAGTTGAAAGGAGTCCAGGGCCGAGATGCCCCTGATAAAATTTATAGGGGTGGTTAATTGGCAGTCACCCGTGAGAGCTCGAAAAGTTCTGCCTTTGTGCCACAGGAACACCAGATTAGGATGCGTTCTGAAGAACGTGAGGATTTACTGTGCAGATGAACAGGGTGTCCAACCTCTTTTGTATTATCAGGGGGTGGAGTACACATACATGAAGTCCTCCACATACTTGTAACATTGTTGGGGGAATCTCGTGTTCAGTGGGTTCCAATACAAGCAGGCTTCTAGCCAGACATTGAAAACTGGTCGTCAAAAAGGCGTGTTTTCCCATAAAATCATAAGAGATTAAGTGAAGTTTCCTTGCATGTCTTCCAAAAATGGGCGTCCATAGGACAGCTGGACACCCTTCTGGCTAAAACCTTGAATATCATTAAGTTCGACCATTTGGGTGTAACTTTTTACTTTTCACTACCCGGAGTTGTATTTTATTTTAACTAAGAAGAATGGTGGTAAATATAACTTGTTGAAATAATATTGTGTTTCACGATCTAAAGTTGGAGCTAAAGAGAAATCATTTTGTGTCAACTTGGAACGATAGTATGCATGGATGGATTTTTTTTTTGCCGGGGGTGGGGGGGGGGGGGCGGGGAAAGGGCTCCTCGACCTTCGCAAGTATAGGACAAATTGTCAAATATTACAACAACCTTCAACTACGATTTAATTCGAAAAGCACTATTATTTATACATACAATCTCAATGTGCTTTTGCAAATCATAATGGGTTGAGAGGGCCACATCTCTCTTCCATTTATATGACAATGTGTTAAAAATGTAAAAACCTCTAAGTAAGATCAGTTTTTCAAAAGCCTTTATTTCTGGACAGACATGCTCTCAGAGTTCTGCAAACAATAAATATTCTTTTATTATTTTATTATAAATTATTATTCCTCGAGTCTGAATGGGCTCTGAGTCAATAGGGCTATTGACCCAGAGGCCATGAGGGCGGGAGGAATAATTGTTTTAGTAAAATCCAACTAGTCGGTCAAAAATATCAGGACAAAACAACTTTAGCTAGCAAAATGTGATTCAGCTGCCATTGTTTTGGTTTTCAAAGACGGGCCCTTTTTGCTACTGGTGGGGTATAACATATAGCGTAGTAGTAGCTCAACCAATCAGAATGCAGCATTGATAACAGACCACTAATTGGACTTTGCTAAATAATAATAGCTGGCCTCCTCTACCTCAATAATTAAAAAGAGCACAATATTATTGTCTGGATCTGGACCTAGAATATTTGGAATATGGAAGAATTTAGAGGCTTCTTCAAAAGAAATAGGTAATGTTGTCTATGACTAAATTATACAGTACAATGTACCTTGGTGCCAAGCAGTAATTCAGGTGCCCTGTACCACAGTGTCACAACGATAGGTGTATAGCTCTTAAGAGGAGAGCCATACTCTCTTGCCAGTCCAAAATCACCAACCTGTTATCAAATTAATTCCAAAGAAACAGTAAGTGTTTTTGCTAAGTCAAGTTTCAAGCTTATTGAACTCTAGCGAAAATAATAATAATAATGATAATGATAACAAAAATTAAAATAAAGAAGTGAACTGCTTATGAAGGAACTGCACTTAACAGCTTTAGCAATGTTTCTAGGGGCACAACCTTGACTCCTCCAGGAGTTAAGTCTTATGGACAACTTGCGACCAAAGTAGAGTTCTTTTCTAAACCCTTATTATTTCATTAATCAAACGAACCTTAAGAATTCCCTTGTTACTGAGGAGTAAGTTAGAGGCTTTCAGATCCCGATGAAGAATCCAGTTGTCATGGAGATGCACAACAGCTCTTAGAAGTTGAATCATCAGTGTCTTGACTTCACCTAGATAAAAATTAAAATTAAAATGAGAGATGAACATGGGAACCTGTCAGTAGTCAAGCTCTTTAACATTAATTTTAATAATTGTTTTGAAACACTAAGAAAGTTCATGGATGTCTCTGTAACACTATGCAAACAATTATTGCTAGAGGATTCAACTGTTCTTTTATGGACAGTAAACAATTGTGGTATGCAATTAACTGTACCCACCCAGAAGGCAGACTCTTAACATATATACTATTTCACATGCTGCGCAGATAATCAAGGGTCTCCAAGAAAATGGGCGCTTGTGACTGTTTCAGTATTGTTGTTCTAGGAATGCTCACTCACCAATTCTAAACCCTTGTGTCATGTGTTCCATAAGAACCTTCAGGTCATGCTCAACATAGTCCATAACAATGTATATTTTGTCCATATTGCTGCCCACCACTATTTCCTGCAGAAGCAAGACACGATGAGAATATCATTTTATTTAAAATTACAGAAGCAGTATAATTATTTGCCACCACATTAAACTTTGCAAACTTGTGCCACACCTCACAAAAGTAATGAAACAGAAAATGTACCCTGCAAACATACAACAATGCCTGCAATTTCTACAATATGTTTATCAGCAAACACGGTCATGTAGCCTCCTACATGTATACAGCTGTTCCAAGTCTTATCACACAATTCTTGCTCAAAGATGCGGCTAGTCACATTTGAGCAGACACCTTTCAAAGTTTCAACCAATCACAGTTCCATTATTCTTCACAATCACAGTCCCATTATTCCATTATTTGTTCCATTATTATCGTTTTAAATGCCATCCAATCACAGCCTGCATTTTAAATTGTGCCATCTTAATATTGCTGTCCAGTTGTATCCTATGAAGCTGTTACTTGTCATGCCACGGAAATTATTTTCTTTTTTAATTGTCAAAAGCATCACTCCCAATTTGCTGATAGATGATTGGTTACTTCAGTAAATTGATGAAACAATAGTAAAGGAATGTAGTTTGCTACCCTGTGAGCAGAGGCTACATTTTCGCTGTGTGAACTGGTGTGCGAAAAGTAGCCTCTGCCGACAACCATTCAAATCCGTCCAGATATCTGGACAAAAAAATTTAAAAAATGGGTTTTTTCCAGTTCTTGACCAGTTTAGAGCACTGCGCGAGTCTTGCATGAGTCTTGCGTAGCAGATCCGAGTTGTCACAATTTTTTTTTATTCCCAAGAAACTCGCGTCGTTTGACGACAGACCTGACGATTAATTTTGCTTGCGAATCGCGTGACAAATCTCGTGCATGCACGATAGAAAATTGAACGGTTGTCAGCAGAGGCTACTTTTCGCACGCCAGCTCACACAGCGAAAATGTCGCCTCTGATCGCAGGGTAGTAGTTTGCTTGTCAGCAGCCATTCCTTTGGGGAGGAACATCGTGTGATGAGAAAAAGGACAGCTGTTAGGGGACTAATCAGCAAAAGAATAGTTCCTGGAGTAAAGTGTTATTGTTAGACAAAAAAACAGAAGTACAATTACACTTGAAACTGAAAAAATCACAAATCAGGCTGGCTTTAACAGGGCACTTACTCTAACAGTCACAATGTTAGGATGCTGTGCTTTCAAAAGGGTATTGATTTCACGCAAAGACGTAATAGGAAATCCCTCCTTTTCTCTTTCCATCTTTAGTTTCTTCAATGCAACTATATCACCTTGAAATGAAACAAATTTGAGAATAGTGTACGTTGTTGCACCAATACAAGAAGCCCCTCAGGACAACACAATGTCAGGCTGTAATACTTGTGACATTAAATGTTACTAATTTTTAAAAACAGTGTTTTCACCAGAATTTTGTGATTTACGGCCCAATGACCCCAGGCCTTGAAGTTTCTGGGCCATTTAAAACAAAGAATGGGTCACAAGTGTTTACTCAGTTTGAAGTTTCCAACTAAAATTTGTGTAATACTACTTTATTAGACTGGAATAATATCAAATGTTTTAGCTGAATATTGTTGTATGCAGTCACACTATGGAGAACAATAATTATTGTTAAATTTAAAAAAGCTCATAGTCCAGCACCAAGCAGTAGAAAAAAATTGAATGCTTATTTACAACCCAAATAAACCTATTTACAACCAAAATTGGCTTCTTAATAGTACAGTTTTGCAACTGAAGGGCCCTTAAGGACTTATTAAGAGCACCATTTCGCAAGTGTGCGCATCTCATAATGGCGCGATCTGTTGAGAACACTGATGAAGCATGCACCCACCCTACGAACGTACAGCAAAAGATGTACATTAAATACAAAAAGATTTCAATGAACATTGTGGCAATAATTTGCATTCAAGAAGTGTACAGAACATACTGTAAATCCTTATCCTCAATGTGTTCAATCAGTTAACCCCTTAAGCCCCAATATCCACATACAAATTCTCCAAACTGATCTCTATATATTTTCTTAAAGAATGAGTTGAGAGAATTTGACAAAAGATCACAGCATTTTCTCTTAGGTGATCATTTTATTAATTCTCATAACCTAGTCTCTTGACAATGTATGGATATCATTGGGAGAAAATTGATGTTGGTCACTATTGGGACTTAAAAGGTTAATGCAATCCACTACATGAACATATACCTCAACACCAACAATATCATAAATCACCCAATTACAACAGGAATGAATGTACCAAAATAAATGGGCATAGAAAGGAAAATTAATAACCAAACCTGTTCTCCTATCCTTTGCTCTGTAGACGACCCCATACGTTCCCTCTTCAATTCTGTTCAGCCACTGAAACTCCTCAACATTTCTGCAGCCACGAACAGCAGGATAATAAGGTGGAAGTTTGGCCTCTTCTTTCTTCTCCTCCTCACCGTCAGAAAGCTGATCCTGTTTCATTTCTGCATCTGAATGGGGCCCAACAGCCTCACCTTCATCGCTGCTACCCTCACTGTCAATGTCCACAATTTCATTGGAGAACTGCCGCCTCTCACGTTCAGTCAGGATCACTGATGGCCCTTCATCTTTCTTTGATTTGCTAGAAGTCACATCATAGCTGCTTCTGTTGTCTTTATCCACTTTCTCCGAAGTGGCTTTCTTCCTACTTTCACCGCGATCTTTCCGATCTTTACCTTTAGATGCAGTTCTAGATGCTTCCTCGGGAGATTTGGTCTTGCCTGAATCTTTTCTTGAACTCTTCCTTCGTTTATCGACATCCCCTTCAGAATATTTCTCTCTTGAACCTGTTCTGTTTAATTTCACTTTAGATACATCCTTAGCATTACCACTTGACTTGTGTTTATCACGACTTCTATCCTCAGAACTGCTTTTCTCATAGGACCTACTCTTACTGTCGTCATTCCGATGACTTCTTTCTCTATGACTTTCATACTTCAAGTCCTTCTCCTTATCAGAAACTTTCCTCAATGTATAACCCCTTGTATGTAGTGATTCCTGCTCCCTTTTCCTGTATGAACTTTCATCACGGCGATGATGGCGCTCTGTCTTAGTTTTCTGCTTGTATTTGTCATCAGTTGGTCTTTGTTGCTTAAGCTGCTGCAACTCTGAATGGAGATCCTCTATTTCAATCTCATCCTCTTTGCCTTTTTCAGTCACTTTCTCAGTCTTTGGTGCAGATTTTGTTTTCTTTTCCTCTTCTTCACTTTCTTCTGATGTTTCACTATCACCTTCCTCNGCGATGATGGCGCTCTGTCTTAGTTTTCTGCTTGTATTTGTCATCAGTTGGTCTTTGTTGCTTAAGCTGCTGCAACTCTGAATGGAGATCCTCTATTTCAATCTCATCCTCTTTGCCTTTTTCAGTCACTTTCTCAGTCTTTGGTGCAGATTTTGTTTTCTTTTCCTCTTCTTCACTTTCTTCTGATGTTTCACTATCACCTTCCTCATCACTTTCTTCTTCACTACTTTCTTCCTCCTCACTTGAACTTTCCTCATTGGTCTTTGCAGTAACCTTTTTCCCAACATCCTTACCTTCACTTGACTTAATGCTTGCTGCCTTCTGCTCTTTGATTCTGCTGCTGCTTTCCTTCTTTTCTTCCACCTCTTCATCATCATTGTCATCATTATCGTCATCATCATCATCATCATCATCATCATCATCATCATCACTACTGCTATCATCACTTTCAGACTCTGATTCACTGCTCACTTTCTTCTCATCGGCTACTTCCTTTGTTTCTTTTTGTACCCTCTTGGTGGCTGCCGCTGTTTCCGTGTCCTCGTCACTCTCTTCCTCACTACTACTGTCTTCCTCACTTGACTCTTCATTTGCCTTTGTTGTCACCATGGAACCTACAAACCAGTGAACAAAACCACAATATTAACCCCATTAAGTCCCAATAGTGACCAACAGAAATTTTCTCCTAACGATATCCATACATTATCATCAGATGAGGTTATCAGAATTAATTAAATGATCACCTAAGAGAAAATACTTTGATCATATCAAATTCTCTCAACTCATTCTTTACGGAAATGTACAGACATCAGTTTGGAGAATTTGTATGTGGATATTGGGGCTTAAAGGGTTAAGATAACTCCTTATGAATCAACATTCTCATGTTGCCAATAGGCCACTTGCACTAAGAGGCCACGTGATCAATGCTTTAAACAGTGAGTTGGAATCTTGCTGATGCCAAAAATTGACAGAGCATATAAAAATTATCTTACACCCGAAATTTGAGAGGAAATGCATTTAAGGGAAATATTTTATGATTTGTATTGGCTGCCATGTTGAAGGGCATACTCTTGCCCTCCCACATGGCTGCCAAAACTCTCTTTTGCTTATATCTTGTTAAACGTTTGATAGTTATGTTCAGATGTGATGTAAACGTTATCACATCATCTTTTCAACATTTTCCTTGAAGTTTAAGAGCAAAATTTGTGTTCAGATAGAGGTAATTCATAATTTTAAAAATCACATTTTGGTCACGTGACCAGCTACGAGCTTACTCATTTTAAGAAAATGGTGTGGGTTTGATAAACCAAATCACTATTATTTTGATTAAGATATGATCCACTAATCATTTTCGAAGGCAAAATCATATAACTTTCATAAAAACTATGTCAAATGACCTCTTAGTGTAAATGGCCTAATATACACCTTGTTGATCCCCAAAGCATTATCTTCAATTTCTCTTGTAATGACTGTTAAACCCAGGAGAAATTGAAAAATTATTATTAACCAAAATTATGGGTAAGAGGGGAGGGGAGTGGTGGGTGCAAGACGAGGCAAGATGGTGCAGATGGTGAATGTGTAAATGACTTTCACATGTTCAACCTGAGCAGTTTAAAAACAAAACAAAAAAAGTAGGTTTGACCAGGATTCAAACCTGACTTTTCATCTGAGTTTATAAAACCACTTTGAGGGCATACATGTATCATTTACTTTATTGCAAGTTCACAAAATCACAATATACCTGGTTGCATGATTAAATAATTTTTATACAATTACCTTTATCCTTCCTTGTTTGTTCTGATGGCCTGGAAGCCTTTAAATCAGAATCAGGGTGTTTTGGAGACGAATATTTTATCTTCTGATCACGTTTCACATCCTCAGGGTCTGAGGGATCACTGACGTTGTCTTTTTCTCTTTGCCTGTCATCAGTATCAGCAGTTCTTGAAGAAGAATACTTTCTTCTCTTCTCAGTCCTTTTGTTCTCTGAATCTGACTGCTCACTGAGAGAATCTCTTATGACGCCAACCTCTGCAGCGTCATGGCTTTTAGATGAAGAATGTCTTCTCCGTTTTTCAACTTTTTTGCTCTCAGAGTCTGAAAGATCACTAACAATCTCTCCTTCTTCTTCCTCTGTTGTTTTCCGGCGTTGTCTGATGCGAAGCCCTGCAGGTTCATCATCCTGAGACATCTGCCCTTTGGCCTTTATTGGAGTACCATTTGTAGATGATGCTGTGAATGACAAAATCATTAAAATCATTCAGTGCAGCACCTTGAATTAATTTTAGTTTGGCACAGCAATTAAATTAGACAGGATCTGCCAAGCTACACAGCAGTGGCACGGCTCGTTTTCAAATGTAGCGCTATTGCCATGCCAAACTCACTTCATAAATTATGAAATGTATATGTTTAAGTGCTTTGACTCTACTGAGCCTGACTGCAATATTTTGCTTATTTTAAGTTTGGAGTGACTGAATTACATTTGACGTTTAAACCACTCCCGTGCTATTGCTGTGCAACTGCCAGGTCAAATTAATTTGAGTTCGACACGGCAGTAGTGCAATGTTTGAAAAGGGCCTCAGTCTGACGATGACTACTGCACAGATTTGTCAAAACATAAGTCACTGTCTACAACAGTCCTACTGAGAACTACACCCACTCGGGACACCCACGTGCACAATCGTGTTCTACTTATCACATTTTCCACACATTTCTAATTACTTACTTGGAGACAAGCTTTGCGGTTCAGGACTCATCTGATAAATAATCTCACTTCCTCCTTCCTGAGTTGGAGAACCATGTTTCGAAGACGTTCTCGATTCTCGCCTTCCACCTGTAGCGGATGGACTAGCAGTTCTCGAATTTCCTTGTGATGCTCCCCCTTCACCTTCATCATCCTTTTCTATCCGTCTACGTTTTTCTTGTAAAATTTCATCCAGGGTTTTTATTTTAAGATCTTCCGTTCTATCGTGGTCATCTGGAGATTCGTCTGGTTCAGTGCCTTCGATTTCGGAATCTGCGGGCCTCTTTCGGTTTAAGTTGTGCGTGCTCGAAGACATAGCATTGAAAAAATGTTCTATTAGCACAGTATAGTTAAATATCTCCCCAGAAAGTTCAACTCAAACGGTATTAACGTAGAATTCACGTTCCAAAATTCCAAAACCTTTTCAAGCCGCCATGATGTTCCACGATCAATCCCATGTGTCCTTTCGGGCACTAGTGAGCGGTCGCTAAGAACGAAGGGCTATAGGCATGCAATGCATGCAAAATGTCAGCAAGTCCATAGCGACAAACCGTTAGTTGGTACCGTATCTTCAGTTGTAGACCTGGNTTTTTTTTTTTTTAATGTCCAGCTTGATTGAAATGTAGGGAGACAGGAGTGGGATCTCTGAGTTACTGGTGGCTCAAAATGGATCGGCGGTGATCTCGCTCGCCCAAATAGGAGAGCTTGCTCGCAGGCTACACTTGAGCTCATACGCAGCAACCCTGACGCAGTGAGAAAGGCTAGGGAGGCTCATTTAATACACAAAAGATTGCGCCATTTTTCGTGCGGTCTTTGACTCTCGTTCCTCCTTCTTTGTTCCCGGGGGGCAAACCGCACGGAAACGCTTACTACGCAGGCTAGGATCAATACAATAATAACTTGTAGAAAATCATAAAACGGCAAAATGATTCTTACGGCACGGCGATGAAGAAGTAAACAAAAGAATAAAACAAAAAAATATATATTTAAACAAATTTGCCCAATATTTCGGTTTGAAAACAAACCTTCTTCAGGGGCTAAAAGAAAAAGAAGATAAAATTAAAACTTCGTTTAATACAAATAAGCGTTTGAAAATATGGAAACAAAAAACAAAACAAAACAAAAAAACTGAAAACAATAGCCTGTTGTTGGTGTAGGAGACTAGATGGTGTCGTACTAACGAGCTTCGTCACATCTATTTGTTCCAAGAAGGGATAATGTTTTGCAAATTTGTTTAAATATATATTTTTTTGTTTTATTCTTTTGTTTACTTCTTCATCGCCGTGCCGTAAGAATCATTTTGCCGTTTTATGATTTTCTACAAGTTATTATTGTATTGATTCTAGCCTGCGTAGTAAGCGTTTCCGTGCGGTTTGCCCCCCGGGAACAAAGAAGGAGGAACGAGAGTCAAAGACCGCACGAAAAATGGCGCAATCTTTTGTGTATTAAATGAGCCTCCCTAGCCTTTCTCACTGCGTCAGGGTTGCTGCGTATGAGCTCAAGTGTAGCCTGCGAGCAAGCTCTCCTATTTGGGCGAGCGAGATCACCGCCGATCCATTTTGAGCCCCCAGTAACTCAGAGATCCCACTCCTGTCTCCCTACATTTCAATCAAGCTGGACATTAAAAAAAAAAAAAACCAAGTTCTCCTAGGTTTTATTCTTTTCTTGACTTCTTCATCGCTTTGCCGTAAGGATCAGTTTGCCGTTTTATGATTTTCTACAATGCATGCAAAACCCATGACAAACTCTGTCCTTTCGAAGAATGTTTATATATTAAGACGGGGAAGTGGTTTCATTCATTTTATTTGATAAGCTTGTGCAAAGGGTCGAAGACTTAAAACGATATGGGTACAACATTGGAACGAAGAGAATTAGGAACACTTCAAAGAACTGAATGCATGAAGAAAGGGGATTGGCGGAGAATCACTATTTCATAATCGGCGACGCCTATTTCCCTTTCGTAAACGGTCTTTGGGCATTTTTAATGGTTGATACCATCATTAGTAACCAAGCCTTTAGTCATAATAGATGTAGTATATTCCAAGTTAAAAAAAAGAAAAAATACAAATGCAAGTTTTCGACAAGAGAATAATGTTAGAAAGAACGACGTTGGAGCCCACGTTAAAATTTCGTTAAAATTTACGAAAAGTGCCAGGGTCACCTGTTATTGATGTAACAGTTAAGAAACTTTTGTTAGTGTATTTACTAAAATTTTTCGGAACTTTGGCGGGTCGGTAGGATATGAAGTGTCCTGGTTCGAGCTCTGGTTTGATTCTAGGTTGGATTTTCTTTCTTTTTCATAGAAACACTCTCAATAACAGGTCAAAAAATGGCAGCAACCGTTTACGAAAGGGAGAACTGCAACGGCGACGGCACACGAGAAAGGCAGAAAAGCAGTAGGCTTATACAAGGTTCTTGGTTTATATTAGGGAGCTTAAGCAACAGCGTTTTTGAGCGACGGACGTAAACCGGAAGTGGACTTTTTGCATCATTGGGGAGCGGTTTGGTTGAAACTCTTGGGTAAATCGTCTTTAAAAGAGAAAAGAAACTCAGCAATAAAAGTTTGTTAGCGTCGAGGCATATAAAAAGGGAGAAGCCTCACTTCCGGTTGACGTGCGTCGCTCAAAAACGTCTTTGCTTAAGGTCCCTAATAGCAAAACAACAACTTTGCACGCGCATAACGCCTACAACTTGACAGCCAGTGCCTAATTTCACGTTTTGTCGAGAACCGGAACAGAAGACAACAACTTTCTTTTTCTTTTCATGAACAAAAGTCCTTAAGAATCAACGAGATAGGATAAGCATTATTTAAGTGACGTTTTTGTAGCCGTCGCCGCCGTCGGATCTTAAGCTTCCTATTAACAGTATGGCGGGAGATATTAGACCGGTCCTCCCTTTAAATAGACTAAGTTCTTTAATTATAATACAAAAAACATTTATTCAAGCAAAGCGCTCATCAAAGTGATCTTTATTCTTTGTCTTCTCTTTTAGAAAGGTATCTGTAACATAGTGCACTTTCTCGTTCATACCTTAAATATTTAATATAGTGTTTAATAAATACATTTCACTTAAGGACGAGCTACAGAAGTTGAGGTCAGCCGTTGTTTACCAAGGCCGCGATCCGAACCACTGAAAATTTGGCTAATCTTACATTAAAAATACTGTCAGGAAGGTTTAAACATCAGACTATAGAAACCTTCAGATATCCATGCAGTTGTAAACACACCTTAAAGTAACTTTGTCACAGATCTCTAGTCTAAAGAGATGGTCGAACACGACAGACGGGTTTATCGACCACTAGATTAAGGGGGTCGCGCTCTTCTCGCGTTCTGCGCTTACCAATTATCGAAAAGACAAAGAAAACAACGCTTACGTACAGGCCAATTTTCACGTGAAATGATTACCTTAAGCCATAGTGCAAAATAGACTTTAAACAGTAAACACTAGGCTCAGTTGCTGAGTGGAATATTTAAAGTCGTTGAGGTGTGACATAAGCGCACTCTTTTCATTGCGTAGTTCATAAAATGGCCTGACTCAGATGGCTTTGAGTTTCTTGACAAAACATCTTCTAAACGTGGTTAAAACAACACTAAAACGGCCGTAAATCGAATTCGTTGTACGGAGTATGTACACTTTCAAATTACTTTTTTTGGCCGTAAAAAGTTTCGTTGTTTCATATTTTATCTTGCTTTGAATTATTTTAATTACATTTATCACGATATTTAAGTCCCATACCTGAGCTGAAAGACTTCAATACTACTCACAAAACAGTTTCTTAATAGCTTTTTGAGTTAAAGTCTTACTAAGCGGAGTCTTATAAAAATATCTTTAAAGTTTCATTTAAAGTTGTACAAGTTCTTTAAAAACACTTTAGATGTGTCACTTGTGTCAGTTATTGTTTATTGTTTATATAACAGTTCCAATTACGGTCAAACCTCACTTCTCATTACTTCTCAAATATAGTCAGTTCACTTGGTCCAGAGCATAACGAGCTTCATACATATCTTACCTCAAAAAGAACTACCGTAAAATTCCGAAAATAAGCCCCTCCAAATATAAGCTCCCCAAACCGGTAACGCAAAAATCCCTCCGTTAAATCGCCCCTCCAAATATAAGCCCCCCCGGTTGTTGTACTTGGAAAATTGCCCTCAAATACAAAGTAAAACGGTAAATTTTCTTCCAACTATAAGGCTAGCCCAATCGATTTTGAAACGCAAATTTCCCTCCGTAGATAAGCCCCTCCGAATATAAGCCCCTCCAAAAATAAGCCCCTCTAAAAGAGCCTTTGAAAAATATAAGCCCCGGGCTTATTTTCGGAATTTTACGGTATTTTCTCAAACAACCTGCACTACAGTATCTTAACGGATGCGTATAAAACTTCATTGACAGCGTGTTCATTGAAGCTGAGTGTTGCTAAGTTACCAGTTACAATTCAGTGTGCGCCGAATCAGTTGCCATGGCATCCAGTTTAGATGAAGGCATAGTTTGTTTCATGATTTCTTTGTCCTCATACCACTCCTTCTCGTAATAAATTCCTGCAGCACAAAAAATACAAATTTACAAGTTGTATACAGGACTCGAGCAACGTTACTTATTATTATTTTCAACGAGAGCAAAGAGGTACATTAACCAAGGCCGCCAACTTGAAAGCAATTGAAATCCAAGGGAGGAGGGGCGGGGTAAAAAAGAAAACCTCCACCCCCCTCCTCTATTTTGGCACGTCAACCTCTCCCTTGGAATCATTGTTAAACTCTTCGCAACTCTCTCAGTTTCAACTTACTAACTGTGATCATTCGCACTGCAAAATACGTCAAATACGCCTGCTGTGAAGGCTAGAGCACCGTTAACAAACAGGAGAATGCCCGTCTACGGGATTTGTCAGCAAAGTTCTTAAGTAAACCTGGGGGCAGCGTCGAAGATTTATATAGCAATTGCAAATGGGTCTGTCTAGTAAGGTTTATACAGGCGATATTTCGCGCTATTTTTGCTGCGATGTCATGAAGATTTTGCGGCGACTAGGTGCACGATATCCTAGTCTGTCTACAGCAGGGGTAAATTCAGAAAATTCAGAAAGGGGTGATCTGGACACTTGTCAGCTAAAAAGGTACCTTTTATTTTACTGAGGAATCTTTCAAAATAGAAAATATCACAGCACAGCCCCATAGGCAGTGCTTATTCGCCATGGTACACAATTCCTTTCTGTCGCGCATTGTTCCTTTAACTAACGACACCGCAGTGAACTGCATTCTAGCAAGCCTGTAGCCGAAGTAAGACGCACTTCTTTTTTATTGTCACGCACGCCTCCCGAATAAGTGCCCGCCGCCCCTGTGCCATAATATCAAACAACCGCCCATCTCGAATCAGCACCCTCCTCCCCTACTGTCTCCCTAACTATTTTGAATAATAGGGATACAAGACGAATGCGACGATCTGTATACCATTGACGAGAATGATATCGAGGATAATGAGATACTCCATATTTTATACACATGCCATACCGATACATCTCTGTGTAAAACCAACCAGTGTTTTCGATAAACAACCCCGGTTTTAGTCGAAATATGAAAAAACGCCCGGGCGCTAATTCAAAGAAATAAGGTGGTTCACTGACCTGACTTGTCATCATCTTTCTTCTTCAAGTACAGCTTCAAGACATTATCAAGTTGTTCCTTTAGTTCGTCTTCTGTTACAAACCCAGGATTTTTTGGGTGGAGCATGTTAAAAAGTTCCCTAGCAACCTTAGCCGAGCCACCAAAATCCTGCAAATAAACGGTAATATAATACTGTATTTCAGAAATTGGTTTAAACGTTCACTGTACTCTTTGGGTGAATTTATTGGTAGCACGTTTTCAGAACAAAAATGGATCAAAAACCCTACCCGTGGGGTAGCAAACACCTATATAGCTTATTTAGAAAAATACCCTGCCTGCCACCGAGTCTCGACTCGTTCGTAATAGAGAGCTTAGATTCTAAGACGAGTACGACAACGAGCACGAGATTTTCTCAATCCTAAGTAGCGCTCGCGCAAGAACAAGCGTCATTTTGGCGGGAAAACGTGGTAGCCGTCGTCATTCTACTACGAGTTTTAGGGAGAACGTCGAAGTGGCGGAAACAAGTTATCAAATGTTAGAAGTTAATCATTTTGCGATTTGGAGAGGGTGTAACCTCCTTTACTAAAGGTAATAGTGCTAACTTTTCTCGGGAAAAATGGTAAAATGAAGGTTTCCGGGAGTCTATGTTTTGAGAATACGCGAAAAAACTTTAAGTCAAATCTCGTACTTGTGGTCGTTCTCGTCCTAGAATCTAAAGATCTCTATTAAGATAGCAACGACGACGGTGACGGCAACGCGAACAGAAAAAAAGGAAAGGTTTTAGATTAGCAAAAAAACAACTTTGCACCGCGCATCACGCTTTTTGGAGCATTTCTTTGCCAAAGCTGCACGAGTACTACGTGAAAGTACCTCATTTTACGTTTTGTGGAGGACCCCTTGAACACAAGACAACCACTTTCAACCACAAGGCACGAAAGATTGCATGGATCAATGGAGCGCGCGTACTGTCCCTAGATGGAAGACGTCCTGTCTATTTGGTCGATATACAGACAACTCGCCCCCCACCCTACCTGACAATTAATTCCAGACTATCAGCTCACGATCTTTAGACAACTAGCCTCGATTAGCCTGCGTAGCCGGCGCCGGGTATCTTTTATACAGGCCGCGCATGCGGAACGCCCCTGGCCAGATTCGATTAGCCCTAACACTTATATCTGGCCACTGCAGGCATGAAATTACTCTTACTTCGTAATGCTTAATCAAGTTTTCCAGAGTAAGCTTTCCACTTCCATCCTTCATCGCTCTCTTAAAGACTGACCTGGATGGTTTTGTTAAGAGAAAAAGAACTTCATAAACATCACAGCCCATTAGCTCAAAGAGTAGTAAGCGCTAAGCAAGAAATTTCAGTAAATTTTAGTATTTTACAAAGCTGCTTAATAGAATTTTTGTTAATAAGTTCTTGATTTTTCTAACATTCAATTCTGTATGTAACAGTGAACATTAGAGAGTTTAAGCTTCACATATACGGCAAACGTCAGATTCAAGTTGAGAATTTCTCAAAATAGAAAATGAGCAGATAAAAACAGCTCAAGACAATACTTATGGATAAAAAATTGCGTGAAACTAATAATTAAGGTGTAGAAATAATAAACAGTAACCGACAAGTACAGGGGAAACTTGGTCATGTGGTACAAATTCGAGTTTGCCGTTTGACGTAATCGTGATGCTTAACCTCTCTTTTGTCAAATGATGATGCAGCTAGAAGTATTGCGAGTTTCCCCTGGATGGGTGGCTAGTCCATCACAAGGATATCCCTAATAGTATGTCCCCACTACCCATGCATTTGTACAGCGAGCTGGAAGAGGAAAGTTTGAGCAATGGCATCAATTTAGGATTCTGGGAAACTTCCCACCTACCCCTCCCCTAAGCTAACGTTAACACTTACTCACTTAAGGCAAAATGATGGCTGGCTTAGGGGAGGGGTAGGTCGGCAGTTTACCAGAACTTTGATCCGAGCAACATTTCTTGTCTAAGGAAACAAGTTACTTGACGGCTAAGCCTTGAACCTGTACCTACAGACCCAAAGTCAGAAAGAAGAATGGAAGAAGAATGAATATTGAACCATAAAATTGTAGCTCTTACCTTACAGAATCAATTTCAAACAAGGCAAACTCATATTCCTCAGTGTTAGCTGGATCACCATCAACCTCATTTGCTATTTGTTTGAGCTGTTCAAGCGTCATTCCTTGAATGTCTTCTTTAGATGCATAACCTTTGTTGTCCACATCAATTATTTTAAGCACCTTTAAAATATCAAAGAATAAACACTGTCAAATATAAACATTTTCAAGACATTTTTCAAGGATCAAGACTTTATGTGAACTCTGTAACAACTTACATTTTCTGCCATGATTCTCCTTGCATCTTCATGTTCTTCCATAACTTCAGTCTACAAAAGATGACATAAACTCTGAACACCAAACACCACAATAAAATGCCATTTAGGCCATGTCCACACGTATCCAAAAATTTTTCAAACCAGAGATTTGCTCCAACCGTTTTCAAAAATATACGTGTCACACCTAGGATATTCGAATCGTTTTCGCCCGTCCATATGGAAATGCTAAACAATGGAAATAAGATAGTACCCCTCACAGAGCATGGGTAATATTATAGTAGTAAAATTTAATGATGTACGGTGTCATTGTTTTCGAAAACTTCTGTTTTTGTCCATCTACACAAGCCTGCGTTTTCAAAAATCTTCACTTTGGAGAGCATTTTTGAAAAGATATGTTTTCGGTGACTGTTTTTACCGAACAGGTTAGGCCAGACTGGAGAAAAAAATTCCCCTCTTCAAACAAAAACGGATACGTGTAGATAGGGCCTTTTAAACTTCAACAACAATCTCAATAACTAATTGTGTACTTTGATAAACAGCACTAAGCGAATATCCACTGACATTTATGCTGGAAAGAACATCTTAAAATTAGGAAAATTATGTGAAAAGCAAGTGAGGATATTGTCCCACAAAGTTGTAGGATTTTACAGATGTTTGTATAATGAGGGAAACAAACTTGCCTCCACTATATAAATATATGTAAAATTCAGTGACTTAACAAAGCTATATCTTTACTAGTTTCCACCAAATTATTGTCAGAATTGACAACTTTACTGATTTTAACCATTTAAGCCCAATATCCAGGGAAATACAGATTCTCCAGACTGACCCCCATATATTTCCTTAATGAATTGGTTGAGAGAATTTGTTTGTATATCAAAGCTTTTCCCATCAGGTGATTTTTTAATTAATCCTCACAACATTTTCCCTTGATTGTGTATTGATTTTGTTGGGAGAAAATTGACTTTGGTCACTCTCGGGACTTATAAGGGTTAAGGCATTCTTTCCAGCTGTGTTGACAGACTTTTGCTAGGTGGTCCCAGTCAAAAAAACATGGAAGAGTATACTTAATTAGAGTCACTAAACATACATTTGTACAGTTCTAGTATCATTATTTGTTATCATCTTACCTCAGTAAGCATCTTAAAAATGAGATCAACATCCATACGTTTATCATCAGCATATTCCATCAAAGAGAGATACTCCTCTCTAAAGCAAAAGATCAGTAAAGTTAATTTATCATGTCATTAATCCTTACAGGTTTCACAAAAAAACTTGCGAATCAACTTTATTCAGTCATGGTAATATTAAAAATCTTTACTACACTGTACTATTAGCCTGTGAGCAAGCTCTTCAGGGCACTCTGGTGGCAGGGTGGGAAAAGGAAGGAGAGCGTGCAACTATGCCTCTGGAATTTGAATTCCACCTCCAATTCCTCCGTGGCTCCCTATAGACAAAGCTGTCAGATTTCTGCCAATCAGCACAAAGCGCAAATGAGGGCGAATGAAAACAAACATTGAAAAAAAACATGTAAAAAAAACATGTAAGCACGCACAAAGGGTAATGACATCATTACTAATGTCATCTTCGCCAATCAGCATTTCGCATTGACTTTTTCAATGCAGATTTTCAAATTCCAGAGACATAGTTGCAAGCTCTCCTTTCTCTTCCTGCCCTGACGCTAGCTTAGGCAAACCAAAATCCCGTCGGCTACTACTGTCAAATATCCGTAAATCACAGAGACTAAATTTTTGCACAAAAACTATCATCACTATCAATTTGCTGATACATTTATCATTGGTTTCTTTAAGGAGCAACTATTCTCTCATGAAGGAGCGCTAGGTGACAAAACAAACAAAAGCTACATGGAAGAGACGAGTTGAGGTGCCATACCTCAATTCAAATGGATCAGTATTGCCCATCGTCTGTGGACCATGCCCAGGATACGTCCAGACCATGTTGACATCTGACAAAGGAGTATAATCCAGCCTGGCACCTTCACATCCTGCTGGATCAAACTCTGTCAGCCGTGAGAACAGAACAGACACTGCCATGTTCTTAGAGCCATAAGATCGCACTTGATGCCAGTAACCTGTAAACAGACACAACAACAATATTTTCTTTGATTTTGGAAATCAATATTTTGGACTTGGCCTAACTTTATTTTCCTTTGCTTTAATGTCCTGTACATTGTAGCACCAGGAAAAAGCCAAAATTGAACCACAACTGATCCCAGGGTGTGTATCAAGATGGTTTAAAAGAACATGATTTTTGCAGCAGATCCAGATATTAGGAGGAGCCAGAGAGTGTCACATAAGATGTAGGGGGGATTGAAAGAACTTGGCATGTACCTTAAAATACCCAGAACAGTGACAAGGAGCTAATAACGATACAATATATGCAAAGTTGGGAAGGTACAAAGTAGGAGTTTCCGTCTCTATAAAAATCTGGCTTAAAACCAACTAATGCTGGTCCAGTAGAGGTTGGTCCAGAGTGAATTTTTAATTAATAAAAATTATGTAGAAAGTATTGAAGTGTACCTAGGCTTTGTATTATGCTTAATAGTACTGGCAAAAGATAGAGGGTCAGACAGTATGAATACAAACACTTCCACGACATGGTTTGAAAGTCTCTTCACCCCCTCTCATTCATCTGTGTAGCAAGAGTTTCTGCGCAAGTTTTACAATAAAGTGGGGATGAGAGCAAAAAGGAGGAATGAAGGTAGCGGAGGGGGAGGGGAGAGAAGGAAACACTTGCCCAAACTATGGGGGTCAGTCTGGAGAATCTGTATTTGCCTGGATTTTGGGCTTAAAGGGTTACAAAACAGTAAAGTTGTGTCTCTGTTAGAAAAACATTAAAAATGCTGGTCTGGTCAGCACAAAACTGATCGATTTCTAGCGAAATAACCACAAAATCCGCCGTTTTTTTACCGATTGCTTTCTGGCCAAGTTTGCCCTGAAAATTCCCGTGATATTGGCCGTTTTTTAGCAATTTTGTCCCTAAAAACCCTGCGAAATTTGTCTTTTTTTTCCGCGACCTATCAGAAGCCCTGTTTAAATTAAAATGAAATATTGGAGATCGAGCAGTGGAGACTACTTTATTGGGAATGACAACGTACAGATCTGACCGAAAAATGGGACTGTTTGTTGGAGATACATTTTCAAACAAAACTATCAAATAAATAAATGAATAAATACTACCACTTACTGTAAGGCAAATAAAGGCAGTCTCCAGGAGTCATGTTTGCATGTTGCCACCTTACATCTTTAAATTTTGGATACTTGATTAGATTCACACTTTCTACATCCAGTGTTGCAAACCCTCCATATCCTCTGTCTCCATCTGCAACGGGTATCTGTAAATTGAAATATTTTAAAATGAATCATATTTTGAACTGCAGATCAAGATATAAAAGTGAACATAATCTTCCCAGTAGGATGAACAACCTCAGCAGTTGAAGAAGAAGCTGAAAAAATTCAGGCTTGACCAGGAATCAAACCCTGACCTTAATTGTGATGACCGGATGCAAAACTCTATCCATTGAGCTAATCAAGCAATCTGGAGAACAGGCCATTGTGAGTTTGTTATATGAATTGAAATATGTGAAAAGAGCGTTGTGTCTGGTTTCTTATCTTCACACAAATCACTTGAATTGCACCTGTTCCAGCTGTAACACACCTCACCTTAGGAGTTTTGACAAGGAAATACATTCCATTTGTAGGTTTTACTTGGCAAGTAACTTGAATGTATTCATTCTGAGAACCGTATATGGTTTCTTACAATATGATATTGTTTCTTTCTTTACCCTACCCTCCTAGATTCATGAACCACTGGTGAGATGCAACCCACTTAAAAATACCGAATACTTTCTCTCTTGCTCCTTTGATAAAATAAAAAGCTTATTTACGCATCCAAAAAGAAATAGATTTTCCCATTAAAAACTCGTTTCCACGGTAATAGGACGAGATCAAGGTATAAGCTTACTAAGCACAAAAGATGAGACTTTCAAGTCCAAACAAGTAACTGAAGCTAATTCGCCAATATTTACGTTAAATTTAAAGTCTCCCTTGTTCATAGTTTATACCATATAGATTAAAAGAAAGTTCGCAAACACATACTCACGTTCTCTTCGTTATCTGGATGAATCAAAATCCAATTTTTAGTACCGTTTAACAAGCAGTTAATAGCATTGTCAGCATCTTTGTGTAGCATACTCCGTGTACCACCAGAGCTAAGCCACAAGTTCGCTTCCAAAATCCTCTCGCTAAAACTTCCGCACATTAAAAAGGGCAATACCATGACTTCTGTCGACAGCGGATCAGGAAGTTGGGAAACCGTATAAGAATCTTTCTCTTGATAAGTTTCGAGAAAACTTCGAATCGTGTCTCGCCCGAGCCCTCTTTCGCCGACTGGAACTTCATCTTTTTCTCGCTTAGATTCTAGCTTCACTTCCAGCTCTCCATAATTTTCTTTCAGGTATTCATCCGTCCATAAATGAAAAGCTGGGAAATGTTTCCCTGCCCCTCGAAAAATCACTGGTTTTCGAATGCTCGCATATTGATCCCAAAATTGCTTCGGCGATGGCAAGTCTTCCGCGTCGATTATATCAACATGGCCATCGGAGTCTCTGTGCCTGCCTAGCTCCTCTCCGTGTCCTCGAGGTAGCTCATTGTGGCTTTCAGAAGAACTCAAACGCTGGTTTAGCGCAAAGATAAACAACAAGAACAGGTTATAGAACTTCATAACCTCCCGCCGCCTCTGATGTTGTTGTGATCTCCTCGGTTGATGAATCACTGTGGTTGCGAACGAGAGAGATCTGGGGATACTCATAGAAACGAGGCAGTGTTGGAAAATTAGGAAAGGACATTAGACTCGTCATAATTTCTTGCCCCTGGCCCTTTTTCCTTTTTTTTTTTCTTACTTTCATTTCATTTGGTTATTTTTATTTTTGTATGGTCTGATGAAGAATGGTGCCGTCGAGAAGGCGACGATTTCCTATGGCTGACTGCTGTACCTTTTGTGGTTAATCTTATCAAATTTTGTCTTAATTAGTCAGTTGATCAATTACTTTTTTCATATTCTGTACTAATACGACTGATATTTATTTTTTAAATTTACTATTTAATATTTGTAATATTTTTACTCACTTTTGCTATTTATCCTCGGAGATATTAGCAACTTATTGCTATCTTTCAATGCGAGAACAAAAAAAAGCTTACAACTTAGGAGCTACAGGAGCAACAGAAGAAATCACTCTTTTGTATCCCCTAATGATGTTTCGTACACATACTAGACCATACTACGTAAAGTCCATTACCAAAACTATATATCTAGTTAGAGGTACATGACAAAGATGACAGGCGAAATTAATTTCGACATATGTACATTTATATCCTGGCATGTAGTTTAGATCTTGCGATAATAAATGAGTTCATTCAACCGAGGTTAAATGAATAGCAGAGAAAATTGGAATATTCATTTTTTTACCTCTTCGACTTAGCATTGGCTCCGGATGGAAAAATAATAGGTACTATGCATTTTCATTTTAGGTTAAAATGCACTGAAAACTTTTTGGAACTGTGACGGTTTCGTTTATTAGATCAGAAACAGAACAGATTGAAAGAGACTGATTGACTGTCAAAATTGACCTCAAAGATAGCTCTTTTCCGAAGTACTCGCACAAGAGGTTGGGGGTCCGAAGACATGCAGTGCATTAGATCTATCAGTTAATACAGTCTCTGAAGGTTTTTGTCTGAGCTCAAAGGAAAGTTATCAGGAAGCTGACGTTTTTTTTCGTCCTTTGACAAGATGCTCCAGTTTCACGGAAGACCGGAACATTTAAACTCGCCATCACATGGAAGTTCGCTATTGCGTCGAAGGGGAACATTTGCATTGATATTTCACGACTCGGAACAAGAACCCACAACACAACCAGCATGTCGGTATTTTAGGTCCAAAAAGCTGTTGGCCAAAGAAGAAAAGATTCAAATAAATGTCAGCGGGAAAAGGTATCAAATGACTTCTCGACTGCTAAAGAATTTCCCGAACAGTTTACTNTCCTGGCATGTAGTTTAGATCTTGCGATAATAAATGAGTTCATTCAACCGAGGTTAAATGAATAGCAGAGAAAATTGGAATATTCATTTTTTTACCTCTTCGACTTAGCATTGGCTCCGGATGGAAAAATAATAGGTACTATGCATTTTCATTTTAGGTTAAAATGCACTGAAAACTTTTTGGAACTGTGACGGTTTCGTTTATTAGATCAGAAACAGAACAGATTGAAAGAGACTGATTGACTGTCAAAATTGACCTCAAAGATAGCTCTTTTCCGAAGTACTCGCACAAGTACACAAGAGGTTGGGGGTCCGAAGACATGCAGTGCATTAGATCTATCAGTTAATACAGTCTCTGAAGGTTTTTGTCTGAGCTCAAAGGAAAGTTATCAGGAAGCTGACGTTTTTTTTCGTCCTTTGACAAGATGCTCCAGTTTCACGGAAGACCGGAACATTTAAACTCGCCATCACATGGAAGTTCGCTATTGCGTCGAAGGGGAACATTTGCATTGATATTTCACGACTCGGAACAAGAACCCACAACACAACCAGCATGTCGGTATTTTAGGTCCAAAAAGCTGTTGGCCAAAGAAGAAAAGATTCAAATAAATGTCAGCGGGAAAAGGTATCAAATGACTTCTCGACTGCTAAAGAATTTCCCGAACAGTTTACTGGGCAATCCTGCAAAGCGTCAACTGTGTACGGAAAACGGTGAAATGTTCTTTGATAGGAATCGAATAGCATTTGAGAGCGTTTTCAATTTCTACACAACTGGAGGAAAGCTTGTACTGCCTAACGATGGCTTATCCGAGCAACTGGTAGCTGATGAATTGTATTTTTTCGGAGTATATGACTATTTGAGTCAGCACGACAAAAGATACAGTTTGCCGCTTCCAAGAAGATTGCAGACAAAGAAACTCCTTAAACCAAAAGGTGTTTATCGAAAGAGAATTTGGGAAGTGTGTGAAGTACCCGCATCAAGTACCTTTGCGTGCATCCTCAATCTATTTTCGCTGTTTGTAATAATGATTGCAGTTGTTTTAGCATTCGTCAGTTCTTTACCAAACATACGAAGCTCGCAGGATTTTGCAGAGATCACTACATTGAAAAACACAACAAGTCATATGACTTCTAATCAGAACCATACGACGACTACAACATTCAGCAGCTTACATGCCATGGAGTTTATCTTCAAAGCTGAACTATGTTGTATTGCTTGGTTTACGTTAGAGCTTTTAGTACGCTTTATCGTTGCTCCTGAAAAGCGCAAATTCTTTCTCGGAGTTTTAAACATCATAGACATTGTAGCAGTTCTTCCGTTCTACATTTCATTGATCGCTTCAATCAAAAACATGGTCCCTATTTACATCATCAAAGTCTTCCGTCTTTCAAGGATTTTTCAAGTGCTTAAAATCTCACGCCTTAATTCAACAGTGAAAGTTGTTGGCAAAACTGCTAAAGCCTGCGTGTACGATGTCTGGACTATCGTATTTCTAACTTGCATCGGCACGGTTCTCTTCGGAAGTACAGTGTATTACTGTGAGCAGTGGGACGAGGGAACTGTGTTTCACAGCATACCTCACGCATGCTGGTGGGCCGTGGTGACGATAAGCACGCTAGGCTATGGTGATTTGGTGCCTAAAACCTTAGGTAAGTCAAAGAACGAGCTCACCCGTACCCAGATCCCTATGAAAAAAACACGAGGAAAGTGTGGGACAACCGGGGCGCGATCCATTCAACCAAAATTCCAACCGGTCCGACCGGGAAAAGTGGTCCACCTAAAAAGGTGGACCCGTTTTTTCGAAACTTTTCCGGTTGGACCGAAGCGATCCATTGAGTTTTGGACCGAAATTTCCGGAAATTTTGGTTGAATGGATCGCGCCCCCGAAATGTTGGTTCATGCTCAATACCGGCAAAGTAGCCTTGGAATCCCGGGGTGGGGGGTACTCTGGAGGCAAAGTGAAAGGGATGATCGAAAGGTTCTCTTAGGTTCGAAATTTTCCATTTCGAGAATGGGTTTTTTGGTGGGGGGGGGGGGGGGGG